AGACGGAGCTTCTGTATATCGGGCGGCGCTGAAGAGCGAACAGGTAGAACGCAGGCACTTCTCCCCAGGGCTTGACGTAGGGTATTGCTCCCGTCTTGCACAGGTAGCACCCCGGGTCGTCCGACCCCCTGCTCGGCGCGACAGGGGTTAGCACACAGCTCCACCACCATCAGTCTGGCCGCCGATGTGTACATGGTAGGGGTACATGGGACCCTGCTGTGGTTCTGGATAGGCAGCGTCTTCTGGGTGCTGTGCTGCATGCGGAGACGGGGATGCGAGCGATTCTCTCGCAGACGATAGCCGCCGTTGCTTTTCAGAGCGGGACGGGCTGACGGGCTCGACGGGTACTGCCAGGCGTAGCACCCTTCCATTCAGGCGTGTTTCCAAGACGAGAGCGCGCGCCGGTGGTCCAGGGTGGAGGGGTGTCGCCAGAGAACTGAAGAGTCAAGACCCAAAGCCAGGAGAGCGCGCCGATATCATCACAGGGGTCTTTCTCAAGCACATACGTGACTAGAGCGAGAGACAGGCGGGCAGATCTTTCGTGGACGAACGAGCTATGGTTTGCTTCTCTGCGGCTCTCATGTGTGAGGCGCCTAAGTGAGGGACGAGCTTTGCGAGCTCGGCCATTATTGTCCACGGCGGAAACAGACCAGGCGCGCTTCCGCATGGTTGAGATATGGGCATGAGACAAGCGTCCCACAGGCTTTCCATTGAACAGTGCACCGCCGAGATGGAACCCTGTACGATATGGAATTGTCTATGAACTGCAGTGTGGCCATAGGCGATCGGTTCACGGCAGGTCATAACGAAATTGACGATGAACGGCAGTGTGCAATGTGTTTCTGCCGTGCGCAAGGCAGAAGAGCATGGGGGCTCATCGGTAGTCAGGTCCGTGTCTCTACGCCATTAACTGGCACGAAAAGGCTAGCATTAGTCTATCGCCTTGACTACGCTTGTCATCTGGAGTGGTCAGTTGTCAGAGCCAAGGGTGGCATGACTCTGCAGCAATTGCCATAAGGTAGATCGAGGAGGGGCGGCTCGTTGGCAGCACCAACGAGGCATGGCAGAGATGGCAGTTGTGCGCGGCGACTGGCATGCCGCAACGGGGATTTGATGGCGCTCGCTGTGGGTGCGGTTGATGATGTGAAGAGCTGGCCACCAGACAACCTCACGAAGCAGGCAGCTCGACTGACCCTTGGCGCGCCGGCGACAAGGCAGCAGTCGTGATTGCCATTGTACTTCATCTCTTCTTTTTCACATTCCTCCAGTGTGCCTCGCCTCGGCCTGAAGAGGCGGCCAAGCGTGGTGGGGGGAGACGGCAGATTGCGGAGGAGCGACCTTGAATTAATGGGCTCCCCTTCCGCCCCCCCCCCTGGGTCTCCTAGTTAGAGGACAAAGGACAGCCCCAGCTATGGATTTGCGGCGGACCTGGCCCGGACTGGATGACAAAATCTGGGGGTCTCAGCCCTTTGCCATTGAGATCGGACCCTTGACGGGGGAA